TCTAGCCCAGCTCCTTCACATTCATATTAGGGTTAGGATTAGAATTTCAGGTGATTTTTTTTCTTGCTGTATTTTATCATTTTTATGCTATAGAAAAATCTAATAAAAAGAATAAAATATACTGATCTAATTTAACATAGCTTTATAAAGCAGGTCTGTAAATCTAGCCCTGCAATTGCAGCGGGATAATTTAGGAATCGGAGAGACTGAGGGGTTGAGGAGGATATATATTATTTATTATTTAGGCGCACCGAGCCAGTCAGATTAATATCCAATGGACTGAGCCCCGAACAAAGAGTCAGGTTACCTTTTAAGCATGTCATGGGGCAGGGGGAGATCTGTGCAGGGGAAAGCATATTACAGGAGCAAGAAAGAGTTATTCATTTGAGACATGCATTACATTATTTCTTACTTTTCAAGGACAAACATGTTTTATGATTTGAGTTTATCTGTCTAGTGACCTTGCAGCTGCACAGCTAGGGAAACAGGGTCTTCACAATGCCTGGGAAAGGGAGAGATAAGGCTCACTAGCCACAGACAGAAAAACAGGCAGTTAATTTTTCAAGGATTCCAACTCTTTCTCTTTCTCAGGGGGATTTTTTTGTTTGTTTGTTTTTTACATACAACTGAGTTTTTGCTTACACATTTTAAAATTTCTTTTAATTCCTGTTTCACAATCCCCCTCTCCTGTAAATGCCAGACCACTTGAGGTCTGTACCAATCATTTGGCTCTTACCTTCACTGAACTATTAGTTATTCTCTCAGATGTGTCATCACCTAGATTATAAGCAACTTGAGGAAACAAACAGGTCTTCTTACTCAGATTTAACAAAACTTATTTATTGACTTCCACAATGCACCAGCCCCTCTTACATAAAGTATCTCACATAATCCTCCCCGCAACCTGATGAGGCAGATAATGGTACCCCCACATCACAAATGAGCCCTGTGAGGCTCAAAGTTCCCATGGATAGTCAGGGGCCAAGCCAGGATCCCAATTTACATCTGACTTCAAGGCCACCAACCTAGCGTAATGCTATCCTTACCCATGTTCTGCCAGCTCCACAGACCCGTGGATTCCTTTCCCTCACCCCAGAACCTTCCGAGTAGGGTTTTCTGTGGCCTTGGTGCCCCCTGGCGGCACAAGAGGACTCATTCCACTGAAAGCCCGTGACCCTGAGCATTATGAGAGTGATTCACAGCCCAGTGTGGACAGCCCTGGGGTAGCAGAGCCCTCTGTACCCAGAGGAAAGCTAGCCTTTCTACCAGAGCTGTGCTTCTTAAACAGACCCTCAGGAGGATTCTGCTTCTGATGGGTCAAGAAGAGGAGTTAGGGTCCCCTGGGCCAGCAGCAGTGGGATGGCAGGCAGGGTCTGTGTTTCCCTCTCTACTTATCCCCCGCTTCCCATCAGGACATGTGGGCTTGGGTATTCTCTACTGGACCCTCCTGGCATTTTAATTTTCCAAGAGCTCACTTATGAAAGAGGGGAGAAAGAACAGGAGAAGGTGGTTAAAGTTCAGGACTAAATTTCTTTACCTTAGAGTAAAGGTAACCATAGAGCTCCTTTCCCAAAATACATCAAGACTCTTTGATAAATCTTTATTGAATTTTTATCATGCTCTATTGCACTAGGGATGCAGAGACGAAGACACTCTTCCTGTCTATGAAAAGTAAACATAAGGGCTGGGTGCTGTAGCTCATGTCTGTAATCCCAGCATTTTGTGAGGCCGAGGACAGCAGATTGCTTGAGCCCAGGAGTTCGAGACCAGCCTGGCAACGTGGTAAAACCCCATCTCTACAAAGAATACAAAAAAAAAAAAAATAGCCAAGCATGGTGGTGTACACCTGTAGTCCCAGCTACTTGGGAGGCTGAATCATGAGCTCAGGAGGCAGAGGTTGCAGTGAGCCAAGATCGTACCACTGCACTCCAGCCTGGGTGATAGAGTAAGACCCTGCCTCAAAAAGAAAAAAAAAAAAAAAGAATTAAAAAGAGAAAAGAATGAACTTTTTCAAAAGTAAACATAAAAGAGTTACAATACAATGAAACAAATGCTCTAATATGAATGTCATGGAACTTTTTCTGTCACCCCAGAAATGGTTGCTGGCACTCAAAACTAAGAACAAAGAATTGTTAAATACCCCACAAGCTAAAAAAAAAAAGCAGAAAACAATTAAGGGTCAGATATTTTCTCCAACCATCACTCCAGCCCCTAGCATTTGCCCAATTTATATATGCTATTCCTCTCCCACTGCCTCCCTGCACAGGGGCAAGAAAGCAGCAGGGCAGAGAAAGAGGGGGTGGTAAGGAGTAGCCTGCTCTCTCACCTCCCATGTGGCAAGGACATGTGAGCCAGCTATCATCCTCTTCCTACTTGATTTTCCTTAAAAGGCCTCCCTTATACCTTAAAAAGTAATCACCAGCCTTTCTGAGAATCCTTCTTCTTTTTTTTTTTTTTTTTTTTTTTTTTTTGAGACAGGGTCTCATTCTGTCACCCAGGCTGGAGTACAGTTGTGCAATCTCAGCTCACTGCAGCCTCGACCTCCCGGGCTCAAGTGATCATCCCACCTCACACAAAGTACTTGAGACCACAGGTGCTCATCACCCTGCCCAGCTAATTTTTGTGTTTTTGTAGAGACAGGGTCTCCCCACATTGGCTAGGCTGGTCTCAAACTCCTGGGCTCAAGCCATCCGCCCAACTAGGCCTCCCAAAGTGCTGGGATTACAGGCGTAAACCACCATACCTGGCCTGAAAATCACCATACCTGGCCCAGAGAATCCTTTAATCACTAGTCTAGCTTTGAGATAATTTGAGATACCCTGGGGCTACACTGGCCAATACTGCGGCCACTAGCCATGGGTGGCAACTGAGCACTTGAAATATGGCTGGTCTGAATTGAAATGTGCTGCTAACTGAAAAATATACCCTGGATTTTGAAGACAGTACAGGAGAAAAAATGTAAAATATCTCATTAGTATTTTATCAATCACAAGTTGAAATAATAACATTTTGAATATACTATTGGAATAAATAAAATGTTATTAAAATTAATTTCATCTGTTTTACTTTGACAGAGTCTCATACTGTTGCACAGCCTGGAGTGCTGTGGCTCAATTTTGGCTCACTGCAACCTCCATCTCCTGGGTTCAAGCAATCCTCCTGCCTCAGCCTCCTGAGTAGCTGGGACTACAGGTACGCACCACCACGCCCAGCTAATTTTTGTATTTTTAGTAGAGATGGGGTTTCGACATGTTGGCCAGGCTGGTCTCAAACTCCTGACCTCAAGTGATCCACCCACCTCAGCCTCCTAAAGTGCTAGGATTACAGGCGTGAGCCACTGCGCCCTGCCCTGTTTTACTTTTTTTAATGTGGCTACCAGACTATATTGCCCAGGCTGGACTTGAACTCCTGGGCTCAAGGGATCCTCCTGCCTCAGCCTCCTGAGTAGCTGGGATTACAGGCATGTGCCACTGCACCAGGCAGTACTTATATTTTCTAATGCTAAGTTTTAAAGTGCTTCTTCTAAAACTAATATGGCCTATACTGTGTTACCCCTAACTTAACATGAATAATTTCTCTACAGCAGGAGTCCAAGAGCCCTGAATTATAACATTCAAACTGGAATTTTGGCTGGGTGCAATGGCTCATGCCTATAATCCCAGCATTTTGGGAGGCCGAAGTGGGCGGATCACTTGAGGTCAGGAGTTTGAGACCAGCCTGGCCAACATGGTGAAACCCCATCTCTACTAAAAGCACAAAAATTAGCCACGTGTGGTGGTACATGCCTGTAATCCCAGCTACTTGGGAGGCTGAGGCAGAAGAATCGCTTGAACCAGGAGGCAGAGGTTGCAGTGAGCTGAGATGGCGCCACTGCACTCCAGCCTGGGTGACAGAGCAAGACTCCGTCTCAAAAAAATAAAGAAATAAACAGACTGGAATTTTAAGGAAGCTGCAAGTTTCACTATGACAGCTGAGGAATAAAAAGGGACTCTGAATGCCAGTGCTGGGTATTGGACTCTGGTTCAATACCAGAGTCTGGTATCTTCCGATCTGGGAGCTGGGAACCAGACTGGAAGGTAGGCTGTGAGTAAAAAGCTGGAGGTGAGAGAGTCGGAAGAAACTTAGCACAAGGAATGATCCATGGAGGGGGCGAAGCTTACCAATTTGAATGTAAATTAGCACCACTTTTTTGGGAGGCAATTTGTAAGTATGTATCAAAAGTCTTAAAAAATGACCATGTCCTTTAACCCAGTCATTCCATTTCTAGCAACTTATAAGGAAATTTTAAAACCGCACAAATATTTAGCTATGAGGATATTCAACCAGCACTGTAATAGCTAAAACAGAAAACAAACAAAAGCAAAAAAAAAAAAAAGTGTTAGTATAGAGGCTCACCTGCAATCTCAGCACTTTGGGAGGCCAAGGAGGGAGGGTCACTTGAGACTGGGCTACACACTGAGACCCCATCTCTACAAATTGTTTTTTTAATTAGCTAGGTGTGGTGGGGCGTCCCTGTAGTCCTAGCTTCTTGGGAGGCTGAGGTGGGAAGATCACTTGAACCTATGAGGCTGAGGCTGGACTAAGCCGTGATAGTGCCACTGCACTCCAACCTTAATCCACAATTATGATACAGCTATAAAATGGAATATTTTGCAACAATTACAAAGGATGTAAGTGAAAACTTGACATGGAAAGACATTTATTCTAAACTCTGTAAAGAAGGCCAGCTACAGAATTGTACCTCCAGTATGTATGTCAATTTTGCTTACAAAAGAAAAAAAAAACATGCTGGGCGTGGTGACTCAGCCTGCAATCACATTTTGGGAGGCTAGAGTGTGAGGACTATTGAGGCAAGGAGTTTAAGACCAGCCCGGACAACACAGCGAGACCCCCATCTCTACAAAAAAATGTAAAAATTAGCCAGGCATGATGACTCGAGGCTGTGGTCCTAGCCAGTTGAGAGGCTGAGAGGGGAGGATAGCTTGAATCCAGGACGTCGAGGTTGTAATGAGCTATAACTGTTCTACTGCACTACAGCCTGGGTGACAGCACAAGACCCTGTGCCCCCCAAAAAAATTTTTTTAAAGGCAAACGAAAAAACATTAAAAGTACACATTTGCAAAGACAACTATCTGAAAGGATATTCTCCAAGGGGTTAAAAGTCATCTGTGGACAGTGGGGCCATAGGTGTTTTCCTTTATTTTCACCAGCTTTATAATTAATTTTTTAAAGTTATTTTTAAATAGTCCTACCCAGTCTTCCTTACAAGTTAGGACCCAAATGCCACTCTCTTCCCCTAAACTGTCCGGAGTCCCCTCACCATAATAAGCACCAATGTCTTCGTTAAAATCCCGACACTTTGCCAACACTCAGCTGGGGAGTTGAACCTTGCTTCATCTGGTCCTTTAGTCCCTGTGTGCGTCTTTCCTCCTACGAGCCTACTGAGCCCCTCCCAGAGGTCCCGTGTCTTCCCCGTACTTGCCCCACAGGCTAGATCAGACCCTGTCTGACCCCTGGGTTATTGTAAAACTTTAAGATCTGTCCCCTAGGTCTCGGACTAGGTTGAAGTAGGGTCCAAAGGTTAAAAAACACTGACACAAAATGCCAGGCCACGAACTGAGATACTGAGGCCCGGCTGCAGACCTCTCTCCCTAGAGGGGAATAATCCCTGCGGGACGGTTCCGCCATGGAGCCAGGAGCGGGTCACCGCGCCGGCAGCCCAAGCCTTCGCCGGGCTCTGTGCGGCGGAAGCGCAGTGATGTTTTCCAGTAAAGAACGCGGACGTTGCACCGTGATCAATTTTGTCCCTTTGGAGGCGCCGTTACGGCCCACGCCCCGCTCGCGTCAAGTGACTGAGGACTGTGCTGGAGAAGGACGTGCCGTGCCGCTGGGTTCTGGGTCAGGGTGGTCGGTGGGTGGGATGGAGGCGACCTTGGAGCAGCACTTGGAAGACACGTGAGTAGTGCGCGCTTCTTCGGCCTGTTCTGAGGTCGCGGCGGAGGAACTTGAGCGGGACGAAAGGCGCGACCTGCGAGTGCCGGCCAGGGCGTCTCGGGGACGTGTCGCGACCCCTGGGACACGGGATGAGGGGACTAAGCCCTACCCAAGGGCCGCAGGGCGGGGCAGGTGACCCGGAATTAAAATCCTGCCGGGCAGCGCACATTCCCTCTTGAACGAGTCTCCTGGGCCCAGGCCACGGGCCAAAACTGCCAATCTCATTGTTGAAATCGTCTTTAGGGTCAGGGTTGTTCCGCACCAGTTTTAGGAAACGGGTTGACTTTTGGGAAGATTGTGCCGGTTGTGCAGAGTCGAGCCCTGCAGTGTAAACAGACGCGTATCTCCTTGTGTGTAACCTATCAGTTACTTGGTGCTTCAGTAGATAACAATCATCCTTCAAATTTTTCGAACGAGCAGTATCTATGTAAAATTCAAAACTGGAAAAGTATAAAGGGTACAGAGAGACACCTGCCTACCACCGATGTCCCTCAGCTTACACTTACCCTCCAGGAGGTAACTTAAGAGTTTTTCAACGGCTGTTTTAAATGAGTTAGTACTAAAACATGCATTTTTTAACAAGAGTGAAAACATCCTAGATGTTTTTCACGCAGTGTTTGTGGCCCTGCAGAACTCAGCAGTACACATTTTTTTCTCTCATCAGAGAGAAACTGGTTTATTTAAATTAATTAATTAGAACTCTTTTCTTTTGTTTTCTTCTTTTCTTTTTTTTTTTTTTTTTTTTTGAGACGGAGTTTCGCTCTTGTTTCTCAGGCTGGAGCGCAATGGCATGATCTCGGCTCATCGCAACCTCCGCCTCCGGGGGTTCAAGCGATTATCCTGCCTCAGCCTCCCGAGTAGCTGAGATTACGGTCATGCGCCACCACGCCCGGCTAATTTTGTATTTTTAGTAGAGACGGGGGTTTCTCCATGTTGGTCAGGCTGGTCTTGAACTCCGACCTCAGGTGATCCATCCACCTCACACGGCCTCCCAAAGTGCTGGGATTACAGGCGTGAGCCACCGCGCCCGGCCCTAGAACTTAATTTTTTTCTTAGGGTGTGACAATGAAAAAAGATTGAGAAATATTGATTTAAAGCACTTAAAGAATGCCTGGTACATAGAACACCTGTGTGTTTATATTTATTTAAATCTTTTTTCTCCCATTATGTACTTCTGTGTTCCTGGAATTAGAATGAAGAATCCCTCCATTGTTGGAGTCCTGTGCACAGATTCACAAGGACTTAATCTGGGTTGTAAGTATCTCTCATGCCAACCATTTGGTGAATTGCACAGCATCTGATGTTGACTTGGAGCCTAGCGTGCTATTATTTTCTAGCTTTTATTTCCTGTTACCTTGCCAGTTCTTTCTGCATTTGAGAGTAGAGATTATCTCCAAATAACAGTATCAGAAAATTGAAACTTTTCAGTTGGTATTTATGAAGGAAGATGTTCCTTTCAGCCCTATAGCAATAAATAGTTGTCTCTACTAAAAATAATATTTGAATCATTTTAAATTGAGTCTAGAAAGGACTTCAGATAACGGCTGTTAACCATTTATTGAGTGTATTCCATATGCTGAGACTGCTAGGTTTTAAATACATTATCTTTAATTTTCACAACAACCCTGCAAGGTGGGTGGTGTACTATTTTTAAGCTCAACTACACTAAACAAGAAGTGAATAGGCAGTAAAATGGGGTTTCATTGTTGGACATACCTGGTCTCAACCCCTTGCTCTTTCATTTGCTAGTAGTGTGAACATGGACCAAAAAACTACCATTTAGGGCTTCATTTTCTTCACTGAGTTGTTATTTAATAATGGTAATAATCATAGAATTATATTTATTGAGCTCTTATGTGCCAAGCACCATTGTAAGTGCTTTACATATACTCTTTTATTCCTCATAACAACCCAGTGGGGTAGAAAAAGAAATTGAGGGGCCAGGTGCAGTGGCTTACGCTTGTAATCCCAGCACTTTGGGAGGCCAAGGCAGACGGATAACTTGA